TGTTAGATCTCATTAATATTGAGTTAAAACACGGAAAAACGAGCCCTTAGGTATACACTTCTTTCCCTTATATATATATATATATATATATATATATATATATTATAAATCAGTTTGTGGTAAGTCTGGGCATTTTTTCAGCATTGAATGTTTAGTTTAAAAAACCAACGAAATTTTTGTGTTTACCAGAAAGCAAAAATTTTATTTATTGCACCAAAACACATCTTTTGGTGCTCAAGAGCTGCTCCAAAGCTGCTCCAAAACCACATTATTTTTGTTACCTGAGCTGCTGCTAAAGACTGAAGCCCGCTTTCACTCCTGCGAGTTGGAAAATTCCAGTTATACACGAACGGATGAGCGGATCGTGTCACAGACACTGAAGCTACTACGTACGGTGATAATTCAACAGAATGAGACAGTAGAATTAGCGGAATGGAATACCTACATGCAAGGTATTCTGGGCAGCTCAAGAACTTCTGCTTCCTGCTTGCTTTCATGCTTGCTGCAGTGGCACTGATTGTGTTCCAGTCGTGGATTTAAAGGTGTTGCTCTGCGCCAGTGTCCATTGACTGCTCTGACTCTGCCACTGGAATTCAACGTTAACTGTACAAAAAGGTGGAAAAAGTGTATACAAACCCCGTTATACATGTGCCTCACCCCTACATTTTAAGCAAGTAATATTGTTTCTTAATATGAGTTGCATGCAAGAAAACATAGTGTTTACTCATTTTATTTATTCTAATGTTCTCAAGACCCACTGGACATTACAAATAGTGTGGGTTACACCTAAATGAAAAAGTCACAGTTTTGCTGCTAGGGTGAAGCAGTCAATGTGTTAACAAGAAACCGGAATGTCACAGGAAAAACAACAAGCTACTCTATACTTGCAGCACGTCACTAAAGCACAAAGAAGGCCACTTGAAAAAAAAAAAAACGCACAGGTATGCACAGGACAAACGTGAGGTAACAACTGTTACAGTTGTTAGGACTTTTTGTTTGAGCAATGTGCTGCAAGAGTTGATGATGCAGAACTCTATGCGCTTAAAAATCTTTCTTTCAAAGTTTGGTCATGGAGTATGGGTTCTCCAAATGGAGAGATCGCCACATTCTTGTAGTCAACGAACACAGTGGATGCAGTTTGACCAAGCCAACACACATTTATTTAACTGCTTTTAGATAGATGATATCATCAGCCGAATTATTATACATCAATTAGGATCAACACGCTATAACATCTTTACGCAATATTCCACAATACCCAAGGACATAACAAACACAAAGGCGATGTCACCAACGCTTGACTCACCACGAGGGCCCACAGAGGATGAACCGCAGTGCCGTGCACTGGGGACCCACCGCAAAAGACAACTGCTCGCTCCAACCGCCACCCGCAAAAGAGAGCCGCTCATCTCTCCCGTGGCGCCACCCAGGCTTGCCGCCAGGCATCACCCCTGGTGCTACCATTCTAACCGTGATGAAGATGGTGGTAATAAAGGCTTGAGAGCACAACGCTACCTATCGCTCAATAGTTGTGAACACTAAATGTGGCCAATGCGTGGAACATGTGCACCAAGAGGCGCATACAACTTTGGGGGTGATAGCACCCCCACAGGAGTGATCCCTCTGCATCTCCTGCCACCTAATGGCACCTGACTCAAGGTGTGCCAGATGTTTTTTTTTTTTTCGTTCTGCATCACAAGTTGGTACATAAAGTTGGCCACATTTTCTTGTGTGCACCTCAAGGGCAGTTCTCAAATTTAAAGAAAATGTGGGAGCATTGCATGATAGAAATAACTCTGATGGGTGAGAGAAATAGTAGAGAGGGATGAAAAAGAAATGAAGACAAAGAGAAATAAAAATTAGAAAGAGAAGAAATATAAAAAAAAGTGAGGAGGATGTGACAGCGTAAAACATAGCCTAGCCTACTGTACAAAGTGTTGGAAAAAAGAAGTGAGGGGCAGGAGGATGGCAATGCCATTGGCTGTTCTGCTTCTTCAGCTTAGTGTGTATGTAGCTGCCTAAAGATAACAAGAAGTGCCTCACTGCCAAAAAAACACTTGAGCTCCAATAGTGAACGAGCATTGATTGTGTGGAACACACACAATGCCGCTGGTGCTCTGCTAGCAAAAACAAAATGTATGAGCATTGTGTGTAACACTCTGCTGCATACAAAGTGTTTCACACTATCTGACATGAAAATGTCAACTGTCTCAAGTAGACAGACAGCTTGATGAGATCCACGTGATGATATTGTGCCAAGTGAAAAGTGGGACATATTGGTTCCATCTTTTTTTTTCTTTCACAATGAAGCATTTCTCGGCTTTTAAATTTGCTTTCTTGAAAACAATAAATGATGAATAACACAAGAAAAATGCTTTGAACATGATGGCATTTGTTCTCTCATTGTGTCTGGCTGTTATGCTGCACTGAATTAAGCTGCACTTGGTAAGTAAGCTCAAGTTAAAAAGTATTGCACTGTCTGTGTTCCTTTATCTCTATTCCAGAGTACATTTTTTCATCTTTTTGCAAAGCATCTCTGCAGCATCCCATTACGTCAAAGACAAATGTGTCTCAGTATATACATCTTAGGCTTCCAGTATATGTACTTTGATATCTGGATTCTGGAATGATTTTCTGGGTGTATCTGCCAAGCCCTAATTATCATTGTACAAATCAGTATAACATTAAGTCTCATTCTTTTGTGCAGCTAAGTAATAACTTACTACTAGAAAAGTGTTCCAAAGATGAAGCATTGATAGAGTGCTCTTGTGACACCAACCAGGATGCAATGTGATCGGTCAAACACTGAGAGGCATTACGGTGCGCAAATAGCAAGTGTGATGCCTTCTGAGTTGTCAAAATTTTTTGGAACATTTGAAGAACGAATTTTCACCCTCATCATACTGCATGAAATTTCATGCGAGAATTTCCTCCGGTTCAATAAAAACAGTAAATGCATGCATTTTCAATATAGCTTTTCATTAGAAGCACAAGTGTGCATTCTGTATAGTGGCTCTTCAGCTGCCATCCTGAATTTTGGCCTGTGACCGAGCAATGACTCTTCCTCCAAATCTTACTCAATTTACTTTCACCGAAGGCGGGGAGCATGGATGCTTTCTCAAAATTTTTACAGCAATGTAGCATTCTCGTCTCCACATTAATAAGGTGTGGTGTAGTTAGTCTATGTAAGCAAGTCACATCAAAAACAATTGCATCATATAGATGAGATTTCTATGATCAAATTGTTTCCACAGTTACTGCAAGGTTAACTGATAAACCTGAAATGCAACAATGCCGAGCAGTGGATGCAGTGGTAAATGTACTCAAATCGTCATAGTGTAGTATGCTTATCAAGCTCCGCTGATGCTTCTGGCAGTGCCACGTTGCCAACATTGCTGCCAGTCATGGTAGCGGACTGAGCAGCAAATGTGACATTTGTGTATTGTGCTGGCTTGCCAAATCACAACTTCATCCTGCTTATTCATGTATTTTTTTTGTCTTTCACAACAAATGGCTGTTGTGAACAGTACCCTGGTTGCAAGAATGTTGCAGCAGTGAATTCTTAATAATAACTCTGAGTGTGTTTAATTGGAGGAATATCTGAATTCCCACACGCAGAAGTTCTGTACACAAAAACAGCGTATTGCCAGATGCTGTGCCAAAACAGAAGTAAGGCTTCAAATTCTGGCTGATGGAGTTGCCTCTTTTTGTTCTGCCATTTTTAATTAAGAAAAGTTGTAATTTTAGGTTCTCATATTGCTGTAACTGTAGCCCCCCAAAGCTTTAGCCATTATTCTCTTAAACAAAATACACATAAATTACCTTTATGCATTTGCAAAGAGCTTCTGCATTTTTCTACTTTGGTTCTGAGACACAGTGACTTTTATTTGAGTGGGCTTCTTGCTAAAACAAATTAACTGAAAGAGGGGTGCTATTGTGGAGTGATGACTGATCCATTGCTTTCCACTGTTGCTCATCGGTCAGAGTGACAAGGAAATGCTTTGAGTGCTTACTCATTGGTCAGACCAGCAGCCCGCTTGTCAGTTGATCCAATGAGCAAACGCGAAAAGCATGAAGGTGTTAGCATTAGAAAAAGCATCGCTCCACGGCAGTACCCTAGGAGCGTGCCATTTCATAGTGCCAGTATGTGGAACAGTTGTGCCATTAAAGAACATGATGTATCTCTCAGTTCAATGCTGTGTAGGCTATAGTATATTCACAGTGCTTATTCTGGTACAGCACTGTTAGTTTTACCACAGAATTTCTTTGCATTCTTTTCTACAATGTCTCAAAATTTATTTAATTTTTCTACAAGTGACTACAATGTTTACAATTAGGCAAAATATCTGTTTTTGCATGACAGTTAGAAGGTCTAATACAATTATTTACATCTTCTATCATTAAAGATATTTCAAGGTATGCTTCCTTTAGGTTTGCTTGTTTATTAACAATATTTTAGTTTGATGTTGTGGACCACTGCAATTTTGGTTCATTTAACATGCTGCTATTTTTATCGCAGACATCTGTAGAAAAATACTCAATAGATAGAAAGTTGAAACCTGTCTAATTGGAAATATTTGCCCAGCTTTGTTTCATTCGAAGTTAGATCATTAATCTTGCCTAATGAAGCTAATGAAATGGTGACTTCTTGCAGTATTGAGCAACATGTTGTCATAAAGTGTGTCGCCATATTTTTAAACTCTGTCAAAAGTTAGCTGGGGTGCCTGTATATGTGTCCCTCACATTGAAGGCTGCACCCAGCTGCTACCCCAGAGCATGTAGCTCTTCGCACTAGCTTAGGGTTTTAGCAGACTGTTTATATTCAAGAACATTGTTTTGCTAGTGCTTATAGTGAATACATGAGGCCGTCATCTAGTTGCATATGCTAAGGACACCAAACACTGCTCCACCCAATTTTTTTATAATGCCTTGAGGAGCTGTAGGTGGAAGTTGAAATTTCAGGTACAACAATGTATTTTTTTTTCTCTTTTTATTTACAGCGTCTTCACCACCACCCGGTGATGTGCTAGGTATGTAGTACTTTCACTCAGAATTACAAAGAGCTTAGATTATTCCAAAAGGGCATGCAAACATGGACACAAGAGGGGAAGATTAAAGACATCAGAAGTGCTTTCTTTTGTCTCTTTTGGAATGAATACTTTCACTGTTTGGATCAAATAATTGTAGTTGCAGCACTCACTCAATGGAGTGCTACAACCCACTGTATTTTTTTGTTATTCAATTTAAATAATATCTTCCAAAGTTAATGAGTGGCCTTCATTTTAGCAAATTAATTGATGAAAATGTTTCAGAATAAAGGCATAGTATCATTGTATACAAGTGGCCTGTGCTATGATCGTACAATCTCAAATTGTTTATGCAAATCAAAGTAGACGATTGGGCCAGTTGATGATACACGATCTAAGAGTACTACCCGTCCGTGTTTTCTACCACGTAGTACTCTTAGATCATGTTTATGCAATCTTAGCATGCATATAACCATAATACCATGCAGCTATAAATAAACCATCGTGCATCCTTCTCTTCAGTCATTATACATATATAGTACTATGATCTTCAAATATGGCTTACGAGAAGTGCTTCAAAAAGTATTGCACATCAGTAGATAGGCACAGTATGTGTAATTTTTTCTTTTACTTGTAGTTGTTAAATTAAACTGATGTGTGTAGTAATAAAATATTTGTATGATGTGCTTCTCTTAAATGCTTTTGTGTTTTAGCTGAACATTTTTACAATGCTCACTTTGTTCAACACTTAAAGGGGCACTGCAGCGCTTTTTGAACATGGTCAGAAAACGCTGCAGATCGGTAGTCAAGGTTCTTGTGAACACGAGACAAATATTGTCGCACAACACATGGCAGGTGATTTACAATTACATTTTACAGATGGCTCGATATCACTCTCTCCTCACGACAAACGGCGTTGTAGTAAAAATTGATAACATTAGTGCAGACATTCCCTGATTTGAGCGTTGCAGTGCTACAGTTACTGTGAACACCATGGTCTGCTGCCTTTTAAATGGCAGCACCAGCAAAAACACTAAAAGTGAGCTAAAGGAAAAGGAGGAGGTCAGGACACATGCTGTCCTTGCCCATTCCCCGCGTGTAGCTTCGAGCACACTCGACTGGGAGAGAAAAAGTGATTAAAGCATGTGATCAATCTCCATAGCTACACTCGTACTTGGGGGCGTATTTTAAGTATTTTTCTAGCAATTGATTGATGAGGCTCAGATTGTGAGGTTATTTGACCACTACTAAAACAGGGCCCCTATAAGTCCACACGTCTCAAGTGAGCAGCATGCAAGACTAGGGGCTATCATCTACGGAGTTTTCTAAACAAGTGGACAGTAACATTGCACAGCAAACATTTGTAGGAAGGTACTTGATACTGTATACTTACTGTCTTGTTGAGTTTCGAAGCCCTGTCACACAAGCACATAAGCAGTCTTTTGCTAAGTTTTAATGAAGATGCATAGCTTCACAGATACACGGCACCGACGATCACTTTTTAGTGTTTTCTTGTTAACACACTACCAAAAGGTTGTTTTTTACAGTTAGATAACAGTGATAAGACAGATGCTTGGGCTAGTTGGTGATCGGGAATCAACACATTTGCACAGTCTTGTCCTTGTCTCTTCTTCTATAGTTACCTCTTAACTACTCGTAGTCTTGCGCTGTGCAAATATGTTGATTCCCAATCACCAACTAGCTCAAGCATCTGTCTTATCAAGTTACATTTCTAGTACGCCGGGCTCTTTCTCCTGTTCGCCTGCTGATTCGTGGTACCTCGCCAACCTCATTGCCGTAGCTGAGTGCCAAGCGCGCACTTTTGCTTATTGTTTACGCCTCAAGTTGCTACCGCCTGCAGTCAAGCTGCTGTTCGGGGGCCTCACCCCTTTGACAGGACATGGCATTCGAATTTGCAAAATTCTTCGCTCGGACGGCGATTGCGCCAGCTTTGGGACGTGATGTTCTTTCAAGTGAGCAGTACCGACAGCCCTCGAAGCGTCAAGAAAAAGTGGCTGGAGTTTTGCGTCTCTACTGGCAGAACGATCGAGTTCATCTGGCAACATATGCTGGCACACCTTTGGGCCATCACTCCCAGGAAGAAACCCTCACCGAGCAACCAAATCCACACTGTGTGTGAGGTTTCCATTCCGGACTGTGTACAGGGTGTGTCAAGCTTGGGTCCCAAGTTCGCCACACAACCTCAGCTGGCACCTCCGGAAATGCTGACTCTTGTAAGGCAAGTAGCTAAACGGGCTCCCCAGGCCGAATCAGATAGATGTGTAGCTGAAGGCATTCAAGTTCTGTCGCAGTCTCCACCAGACCGTCATAACCTGCCTTTTCACCTCGTCACATTTTTCTAAGAGAATTGATTAGCCTTGTTGACCTCGGATAAGGATGGGGGTTTTGCTGTGTTGCCGAATGAAGTGCTCCGCTCAAAAGCCAGCAATGCTATAAGTTCCATGTTTCAATGCCGAAGTGACTTAATACTGACAAAAGTAAAAACTGAAGCCAAGAAGTTATGCAATGCACTGAAAATAAGTAAGCTTGCTAGATCTATTGACAAAAGCAAGAAGCTTAGCTTAGATTTATTCTTTACAGTCAAGACTCACAAAGTAGACTGGCTGCTTCGAGTCATTGTTTCAGAAAATGGACGTGGCGGAAGGAAATGGCCATGTTTTTACAAGATAAGCTAAACTTGCTGGCCATCGATGACCCTTTCCTGGTTAGAGATTCTAATGACATCATTTCATTTCTTTCACGTAACAACAATAACTTAAGTGCCTGCTTCGTTGACATCAAGGATCTTTAGGACTCTTTACCACATGACATGCTACTACATTGCGTTGAGGACTGCATTGACAACTTCGGTTTAGTTGCGTTCCAAAATGCTGCGGGCATAACAGTCAATGGCTTTCTTGAGTTCGTTGGCTTTTACTTAAAGACAGCGTTTGTATTGTGGGACGAAGGCACTTTTATTAAAAAAAAAGGAGTGTGCATCGGTTCATGCATACAACCTGTTTTAAGTGACATTTTTCTCGCTCACCATGACCGACTCTTCGCCAGCCGCCTCGACAGAGCGGCTGTCATAAAGGTGTTTTGTTTTGTTGACGATTTTCTTGTGCTTTTATACTGCAATGATCAGGGCTTCAAAGCTGCTATTTCAAACATATTACATCTTTTCGATGAGTGCATGGCACCTCTTATTCTGACGCATGAGCTTCCGCAGGGTGCTTCGTTAAGGTTTTTAGATTTGTGATTACACATCTCAAGTGATCACCTTTGCTGGAGATATGAGCCCAGAGGAAGCAAACCTCTTCTACCGTACTCGTCAGCTCATTCAAAGCTCGTAAAGAGAGGTATTGCTAATTATTGTTTAAGAAATGCCCTCCAAAAGTCTTGTGGCCACTCGTTAATCAGTAGCTTCGTTGAACAGGCTTCCCGTCTGATCAGCGCTGGTTTCCTTAATTATGTGCTGGTGTCGGTGGCGGAAAAGTTGCTTAGGACAATCAAACAGGGACGAGAAGCACCTGTGAACTGCGTGGCTAGCAGCTCCAAGCGCGTGGCTGTGATTCCCTATCTACATAGGATTTCTCACAATTCGAAAAAGATAGGTGATAAGGTAGATGTGAAGGTGGTTTTCTTTGCCCCAGAAAAGCTTTCAGCACTCTGCAAATGGGTGAATGCGCAGTCCGCACGAAGGAGCTGCTGCACAGCAAACATAGAAGGCCATTCGTAGCATGTGTGATAGCCTTGGTTTATTTGCTCCCGTTGTCATGTGGCAGGATATATGTTGGGCAAACGGGCCGGTGCCTGAATGAACGTGTAAAGAAGCATCATAACAATGTATACTCAGCTGTGCAAAGTCATTTGGGGATCTATTGTAGGGACTGTGGTTGCAGACCGGAATTCGAAAAGTGCACTAGCCAAACACCGTCACCAGCTAACACGAGAGATTATGGAGGCCAATGAAATGCAAATGCTGGGTGATCGATGTATCAGCATGTCTTCACTTTCTCTGACTAAAAAAGAAATCGAGTTTCTGGCTTTGACACAATAGATCGTGAATTTGTGCTGAGCTTTGGCGTTGTAACCATATAATGAGATGATGATTGTCTTGCTGTGATGGAATAGGTTGCGCGATTGCGTCGTGATGTTCTGTCACGAGTATATATTTCCAGCATTTTCACTAATAAAATTTCAGTTGAAGTTAGCGCTTCTTTAGTCCTTGTTTCTTTTTCTGTAGTTATGTCGTAACTACTCGTAGTCTTGCGCTGTGCAAATATGTGGATAACAATGCCAACAGTAGCATGGATATTAGCAACACCAGAAGCAGTAAGCTGACATGAAGCACTGGTGCTCGTGAGGATAGTAGCCCAGGACACATATACACAAATGAACTTCAGCGGCTGGCACTTGACTACAATTGACGTTAACCCGACGTGACGGCTGTGTCATAGGAGTGCGTATGTTATGTTTACAAAATGACATAGCCAGTACAGTAACCAATTGCCATTTTATGAGCATTAGGGTCTATTTGAAAAGTAGTTCAGAAACCTGGCATTGCTCTGTTGTAGAATACTTGATTGCCAAACAGAATTCTGGGATTGATTCCTGCCAGGAACCTGGCATTTATTTTTTGCATTCAATGCTTCAATGCTGCCAATGTCAGCTTTTTCTTAACGCTCACATATTAAAATTACCCATGTCTGTTTTTGCCATTCCTGGGTAGATATAAACTGTCAATCACCTGTGGCACATTCTCGCAGGTGGGTATGTGCTACAAGTATGCAGGTATGTGCCACACGTCTTTCGGTGAGGGTTTGACGATGTACATGACGACATTGTGACATTACTTATGTCATGACTTGTGAGTCATATTCGTGAAACCATTTTACTTTCCCATACTAATTATGGTTTACTTCGAAATAAGGGGGCGATCACGAGAGCAGCCAAACGCAGACAGACACCTAAAGTGCCTGCAGTGGGGAAAGAAATGCTTC